TCCCAAACAGCATGCCGAGGAATATCATGTCGTAACCAACTATGACGACCTGTCCGACCTCATTGATGCAACAAGCTGGTCGTGCTTAGCCGAATTGACCCCTGCGGTGGGCTGCGGTGAGTTCGTCAACATATTTAACAAGCTCGTGGCAAGGACATCTGAAACCAAATTCTACCGGCTTAAAAGGATGAAGTCTTTCGTAAGGAGCAGGACACGTAAATGCATGGCATTAAGGGACTTGGCATGGCACACCTACATAGCCTCCCCGAACGACGAAACCTGGGATGTCTACACAATACAAAGAAACCACTGTGTCAAACTCGTCCGGGAGGATAAACTGAAGAACCAACAAGGTCTAGTGGAAAGTTGTGCTCCAATCCCAAACTGCTATACAGACACGTAAACAATTTGTGTCGTGTTAAGTGCGGTATTCCTGCTCTGCACACAGCATGCGGGTTAGCCCAAACCGCACAAGAGGCGGCCAAGGTTCTTGGATAACAATTTGGCCGTACCTTCCAAAGCGTTCAATCATTATACATCCTGCCTAAGCAGATACCGCCGCCATCAGGGCTAAATCACATATCGTTCATCTCCGCAGCTGTACTGAAGAGGCTGATGTCTCTGCGCGAGTTCAGCTTCTCGGGTGCGGACGGCATTCGCCCGAAGGCGTTGACAGTTGCTACCATGAGTTTGGCAGGACCACTAGCAATTTTCTTTCAACGATGTCTGAAAGAGCTGCACGTCCCCACGATGTGGAAGCACGGAATCATCACTCCTATCTACAAAAGTGATAGCCGTGCTGAACCAACAAATCATCACCCGATAACACCACTTCCTGTGATCTCCAAGTTTATGCAGTCCATTGTAGCTGAGGCTTTGATGGAGTACCTGGAGAACAACAAAATTCTCGTTCCGGAGCAGCACGGATTTCTCCGAAATCGGTCCTATACCACTAATCTGTTGATTGCTCGTGCAAGCTGGACGGAATCTGTGGACGCTGGTGTAGGAGTCGACGCGGCCTACTTGGATTTCTCAAAGGCATTCGACCGTCTAGACCATCGCATTCTTCTCCACAAACTCCAGAAATATGGAATCGGCCATCCTGTTCTGGACTGGATAGGAGACTTTCTCGTGCAACCTCACCTGAATGTGAGGGTTAGAAGCAACCTTTCGGAATCCATCGAAGTTCAGTGCGGCGTACCTCAAGGCTCGGTACTTGGACCCCGCTTGCTTCTTATTTTCATAAATGATCTCGCGAGTGTGCTATCTTCTAACTGTTTGCTATTTTCTGATGACCTAAAGGTATGGCGTACTATAGCTGCAGTGGAGGATCACACAGTGTTACAGGAGGACCTGGACAATGCGTACACATGGTCCATCGAGAACATGCTGCACTTCTACGTCACCAAGTGCAAAGTTCTCAGCATACGGCACAAGGGTATGTACAAGTACCGCCTAGGACCACAAATTCTACATAGGGATTCTCACGAGTGCGATCTCGGCGTGATAGTTCAAGATGACCTCGGTTGTTTGAGGCAAACTGTAAAGGTAGCTAAGAAAGCGAACCAGTACCTCGGCCTTCTTCGCAGAGCTTTCGCGAAGTTTGACCATTCAGTCTTTCCCAAACTGCTTAGTGCGTACGTGTGGCCACACGCGGAATACGCTATTCAAGCGTGGCAATCCTGGCTCAAGCACCATCTCACCACGCTCGATACTGCACAACGTAGGGGAACGAAGAGCGTCAGAGGTTTGACCAGCCTCCCCTACCCACTCAGGCTGAAGACTCTCAAAATATACAGTGGACATTATCGGCGTCTAAGGGTCGATCTCATAATGGTGTACCTGATCCTGAGAAACCCCAATACCCCGCTAAAAGGTCATCGGTTTAGGCTGGTCACACAGTACAGCTGCCTGGAATGTCGGCGAAACTATTTCTCCCTTCGAGTGGCACAGCCTTGGGACGCCCTCCCGGAACATGTAATCAATGCACCCACCCTATCCCTTTTCAAAAAACGCCTTGACAATACTCTGTCACATTTGCACTACGTGCTATAGCCCATGACCACCAAATGCTGGCACTAATGCACAACAGACAGGGGTTAGTGCCATAATCCTACTCGAGAATGAGTCACTCCAAATCCCTTGTACAAAATTTGATTAATGCTACTACTGTAGAAACTGGATTTCTGTATCTCGTCGACCCAAGATAGCTGCACACGAGTAAGCGTTGTCCTTGCTATCTTTTTTATTTTTCTCGCCTACGATGTGAACAATAACCACTCCCCTGTTGCTTTGTGTGCGTACATTCTCATTTCAAACTCCCTTTATACGGTAGTGCATTTAAATCTGTGATCGCCCGAACTGACGATTCCATTATCCCTTGATCTATCTTTTCTCACTCTAAACACCCTACGTGACATGTCAAGCACCTGATTTCTTTTACCCGTTATAAATCATTGTTCATTGTTCAATCCCATCAAATCCCATCCCACACCTGACTCCTTTAACCCCGTGGAGGTCACGGGGACAGGCAAATCCGGAAAGGATGCTGTAACCATGATTGAACAGACCAACATCATGGTTGCAACTTCCAGAACCATATTGTCTATTTTGGTAACGAAACGTCCGCTTATAGACCCATCAATTCAGAGAACAATCCGGCACTCTAATCCACATCCCGACCCACGACAGTTCTCCATAACTAAGGCAATATTTGTCCGTTAGTTCATTTGTTTCCCCCTTCCCACCTGGCAGTAATGGCCACTGCGTTGAGAAAGTTTCAACCTCTGTCAGGCAGCGGGAGAAACGCCATTTGTGCCCCACCCACTCCATCGAATGTGGTTAGTGCCAAATCATTGGTTGAGCAAGAAGGAGAGAGATAGTCACCCAGTATATTTATTGAAACCGATAGCATCACAATGCTCGGTATACTGAATTCTCTGATGCTGTAACCATAGAATGCCGACATCATATGGTTTTACTTGCCGGCGAATTCGGGTGGATTACCGCTTAGTTAACTTGCTACGTTACGCACATTTGTGTTGTCGCGCACTATTTACATGGCTCGCTACCCTATCATCATTCACATGCCGTACAATCCCTGGGCAACAGGAGTCGACTATTTCATCATTATTTATTTTTAATTCCATGTTTCATAATTACTTATCTGAGTCTTCGCTCAGATAGTGGCCATATAATCTGAACGACCACTGTTTCAGTTACCTCTACTGCAATGCAGTTTCAGCGCTTGTTGATGTAACAATTTCAAGGTACTTTGTTCCAGTGCACTAGTCTCAGAGACGGTAAGATGACTTACTTTTAGAACGGTCCGTACTAATATATTTTAGAAGCTTTACTGAGTCATTCTACTTTATTTGAAAGATGGGAAGGAGGCTAATCTCATCGCCAGATTGACTTACATGTCAAGCCCCATAAACAGTGGGTTTCGGTTTAGTCTTAAACCATTGGACCTCTGTCACTCTTTCGCGAATTGGGCGAAGCAAATTTTTCATTTCTCCATCTTCTACGCTGAATAAGCTAAGAGTCGACATCGTCACCAAACTGCTGGTTTCCACCTGAATTGGAGCTGTTTTAAGCACCGCAAGCAGCAAACGTTTGTAGGCCTCAATTTCATTACAATACTTGTCATTCTGGTAGGCACTTGAGATTTTTCCAACGGTGTCCATCTGCCAACATTCCATTTACGGTACCGAATGGAGTGGGATACTACAAAAATGCTGATGAATACCATCCAATCCGAGATAATCAGAACACAATGAAAACATTACGGTGAACTCATGAAGTGGTGTTGAACGATCTTCACAATGCCCATCTGTCCGCGGTCTAAAATAAAAGACCTGGACTGGTGAGAGACGCAACAGTGTCACCTAGCACGACGCTTTCCCACAAATACCTATTATAATGCTCCCACGATCCACACGGAATGCATTGTATACAGTTTTGACGCATCTATATGGCTACTGAAACAGGATATATGCATACTATACTGAGTGAGAATATGAGGGTAGCTGAACACCTACTGTGTGTTTGATGAACATTCGGTTTGCTTGTATCACATTGAGACAGCTAGACGGCACAATTTTTATTCCCCGAGGTAATCTGGTGAAAATCTCGGGTTATTGTTTAGAGGTGTTGTGCTACAGCTGCACTTTCTGCGTAGTCCATGCCTTAACACCAAATTGGCAAAACTTAGGCTACCTGTGGGTCATTATTGAACGAAAGTGGCCGATATACCACGCACCTCTGCTACCACCGATTTTCGTGTGAATGGATATTTTCCTCCAGTTTACTCAATGCCAAAGCGTAAGCGGCACCAACATTTCAGAAGTACCTCTGTAGCTAACGCGATCAGGCGCTAAACTTCGCTAATTCTCTGGAAACAGAAAATGTACACAAACATAATAATCTGTTTGGAGGGTCATTTTGAAGTACTCGTTGTGTGATTGGATTGCGACGCGCAATATCAATGGGGATCGTTATTCGCACTGGGGCGAACATTGTTAATTCAAGCACTAGGACTGCGGCTGAAAAGCAAGGAAGTTGCATGCTGCCCGCCCGAAAACAGTGCGCTCAACCGCGCGTTTCAACTCGGTGACTTAAGGGGTTGAAGTCCAAACTAACATCCCAACGGTCCCGGGTTCGATACATGCTATCTTTACCAGATGAGACAAAACAAGATTAAAACGTGTGGCGGAATGCAATGTTCTCTTGCCGACAACTTGCAATTTTCACAATATTCTGTTGTTTATCGGCACACGTTACTATTGGAGTCGGTAAATCAGTGACACTGATCTGCTTGTTAGCGAACCAAAACTTAATCTGCAGGTCGATCCAACGGCTTTCCGCATTGGAAACACCCACAGTGTGAAGGCGCCCTGTTATCTCCCAATTTGAGCACAAGTTAATCCGCAATTGCACAGAACAACTGCTTTACAGGTCATCAAAGAACCGGTTTTCTCTTTAACCTATTTCTCTTTCAGAAAACAGCAGCTGCACGGCAGCTGCAGACGAGTTGGCGGATGTGAAGAGACTGGTAACACATTTGGCCAGCACTCTGCATGCAGACGAGTTTCATCTCCAGCAACAGCGTAACCTGGAACGGCGAATAGAGGACGTTTGTTCGCAGTTGGAGCCCTTTGAGCAAGTAAGCACTGCAATGCATAAGGTTACTTCACTATGATGGACGCTTTTAGGTGAATTTGTTCGCTGCGCCTTTTCGTGATAGGTTGCTGTTGTTGAACACAAATGTATGGGGAGTGCTTTTCGATCTCTTCAGTATCGCTTTTTGTTCTTATAATGATTTCTCTAAAGGAATGCATGCCGATCACTGATGCCTTTCTTACGCATTCACTTAGAATACTATATTTAACTGGCACGATGAAGTCTGTGGAGTGCTTGTGGCCCATGAAACATGTGTCTGTCTGTCAGTTAACCGTCACCGTGTGGAACCTGCTCAGCTTTAACTAAGTGAGCAATCGCACTCTGCGACGAAATATACTGAGGTACTTTGTGCACATATGGGCGCCACCTATGCACCATGCGGTTGGTGCCGAAACGTCTCATTTTGAGCACCTCATATTGACAGCGATATTCCAAGTGATTCTTTTAAGTGGCTTTTCAGACAACCTTCATCAGAGAATGAACGAAAACACCTCGTCAAGTGGAGGCGTTTCGGCTCGATTTATAAGTATTTTACTGGGATTTTACAAGCACTAGCTTGGACCTTAATGGATAACGAACGCTTTATCGGTTGTTTTAATGCAACGGTAGATGTCAATCAGCCTGGTGAACATATTTGGCAGTGGGTTTCTTCTAAGCGTTGGGGACTTCCGCGTGTAGCGACACACAAGACATTTCATTATCAGTGCAAACTGATAACTGAGCAACAAACATTTGCGCATAGTTCGGTATATCATAGCCTACTAGCGGAGAGCTAAATCAGAAACTGGAAGCGAACTCAGGAATACTGCGCACCAATTGTTACGTTTTCCTTATTCCATACCTCTTAAAAATTTCTGTTTAACTCTTTTCCGAAACTCGCTAGATAGAATATTTTGCTCATGTCATTGTGCGTTGTGGTAGCACTGAGCACAGATCGACGGACATCTGTGCAAAAAGACAACGGTTGATTGAAACTGCCTATGTGGTATTCGCTTGGGGATTTAACTGGATTTGGTGAACTTGACCACAGTCAGTCACTCAGCGATAGCCACTGTCTGAATGAATCCATGTGCAGAGTTGCCGAACGGAAAACAAATATTCATCAATCGGTACCGCGAATTCTGACCATTAGATGGACCACCAAGGAGCCAACTTTCAGAAATGAGCAAATACGTAAACTGAAAGCGCAACTTACGGCTGAATTACGAACTCAGCGAACTTGGATGACCTCTAACAGGAGCAATTATAGTAACCGAAATAGGAAACACAAGTTTTACGCTGTCGAATTTCAATTTGGTCAACCCTATCAAATCAGCTGTACGTCCTGTTGGAGAAGAATGCACACTGGAACCTACCTAGTTGTCGCACCGGTATACCTTTGAAGATTCACATAGTTGGCAGCATGCGATTCCAGACTTGCATATCACAGCGGCCTCCATAGGACGGCCACAGTACATCTGCGCCTACTGAGAGACCAGAGATGGCTGCCGCTGCATTACCCACAGCTCATCCACAGACCCCGTGTAAGATTAGAAAATATGTGGATAGTAGCCCCGTTTCATCAACGGAGCCGGCCCACACTCCTTAAACATCCATAGAAGAAGCATTTTTGTCTATTTAATTGATAAATCATGCCTACCAGACTTACACAAGGCGATGGCTGGGCCGTAGACCGCTCCCCTCTGGATGCATGGAACCAGTCTTTGAACCTCGGACGGTCAAGAGGATTACACACCCCTTTTCCCAAGCAACGATCAATTGTCTCCTAGTGCCTGTACAATCAAGCTAGCGGATTTTTGCCAGATAGGCCCCTTGTCAACATTCACATCAAGGGCAGCCACATTGGGGATATCAAGCAACAAACGCAGAATATTGAACAAAATGAGCACAGAAACTAGTCAATGTATCAGAATAGTGCAAAATGACCTAGCGTAAGGGTAACTTGGGCAAGTGTAATTGTAAGTCAGGGGACATCAACAGAATGCCACCCAATAAATAAAAATTAAACTGCGCGCAAACTAAGAGGGGAATATGTGGAGAATTAACAGAACCGAGCAAGTAAGATAAAATGACTTCAATCAGATTGTGTATTGCGGAACAAGCGTAAGTTACTCTATCCCAACTACGGTGAATAAGCATAATAAACTTAACATCAGCCACAACGTGAGACAAAATCTCCCAGTAACAACCACCACCATTTTTGAGTCTACAGGATTGCCGTCTCTTCCTGTTACAATCTGCAAACTATGTGAATCCCTACTGTTTAGTCAGGAGCTCAAAATCAGTATTCACCGGGCAATCAATTGTCTCTTGACTGCAATGAATGCTCTCAGCTTTGGGTGACCAGGAGATTAAGTTTTGGTTGTTGCATCAACCGATTTGCGCAGTCATGCACGTATCACCTTACATTTTATTTTTGCTGAACACTCCGAGAGTTCAGTGGTTGAACAATATTTATGTCCAAATGGCCTCCGTGTTTTTATGCAAAACTACCTCCTTGGCGGTGATTAACAAAATCCCAGCCAATTTCAAGCTGAATTATGAACAGGATGGGTCGGACTATATTGGTTAGCTAACAATTCGTGATGGTCGGCTACCGTCCTCCATGACGCAGTTGCATACGCTGTGGGCTAGTTGGCTCAAGCCACTTGAAGTCATGGGTTCGATCCTCCGTAGAGGACCGAAGGATGCGCACCACTGACGAGCCCCAATATGGCGAAACGGCCGTCTGGTGCTTTTCCGGATAAGTGGTTGACTTAGCTGAATTGTCGGCCGACTGCGACGAACAAAAATACTCACAAAAATCCTTCTACTCATAAGTAATACAAATTCGCCCTTACGGTTTCCATAAATGCTATGTCGATTCATAGCTGCCGTAACCGGGAAGTCCTGACACCGGAAGGCCAACCGCTGTCATCTGCATGGCAGGTGCCTGCATGGCAGTGGAGGATGGATCGGGCTATATCGCATTTAGCTAACAATTCGTGATGGTCGGCTACCGTCCTCCATGGCGCAGTTGCATAAGCTGCGGGCTAGTTGGCAAGAGCCACTAGCAGTCATGGGTTCGATCCTCCGTAGAGAACCGAAGGATGCGCACCACTGACGAGCCCCAATAGGGCGAAACGGCCGTCTGGTGTTTTTCCGGATAGGTGGTTGACTTAGCTGAATTGTCGGCCGACTGCGACGAACAAAAATAAACAGCTTGTTATTCAGGCTTTCATTCAACAGTTACCTGTATGTCAGACCTGTCGCCCAACATTGATTTACTTTGGCCTTTCGCCACTTGAACTAATGTCCATTCCCCAAGATCCATTTTAGTGCACCATCTTATTTTCTGTCAACTGTAATGATTCAGCGCATTTATGACGTTTGCCTTGTGTGTCGATTATGCAAGATGTATGCGTTTCTCCTTAAAGGATCAAATGCACTTTCCAGTGCGGTAATAGCAACTAAATGCCTGGAGTGCAAAACCCACTTTCGCTTTTCACCGCGATTTCACTTTAAACTGAGACTTGTCATTCAGACATATTCAGAAACAACTTGAGTGTACCGCAGAACCTAAGGCTGTGTTGACTTCCCATAAATCTAGTTGTCCGCTGCTGAAGACGTCAGCTAACGACCGCGAAGTTAGGGCTGATTTCCAAGCCTTGCTTATCGCTACCTAAGAATGCGGAACATTGACGGAACAAACCGTGCAATGTAGTGTCGAGAGGGTGCAACATTCGTTTTATTTTAACGAAGCTGAGCAGCTCTTCAAAGTATTTATAGCATCTCAATTTTCTACTCTTATTTGTTGTGGTTTGACCCTAAACTATTCAAGTAAACCAGATAAACAATCGCAACGAACTGGACATTAACGTGGTGCGTTGGTTCGCGAGCTCCAGCGATCCGTTATGTTGCGCCTTCAAAGCAACTCATACCAGATTAATCAATGGTTAGAGGTTTTACAAGCTCAGTCTATCACCCCTCCGGATTGGAGATTGGAACGAGAATGGTTCCTTACTCTTTAAACCGAACCCCCCTGTAGCCACGTACCGAAACCCCGCTGCCCTCTTGTTCGGTTTCTGAACCAGAGGTTTTGGTTAAGAACCCTAATCGTTCTCCGGTCTAGACATGGGCAACCTGACAATATCCTACCCATGCGATGGAGTGACCTTAAAGTCAAATAGTGCTCTGGTCGTCGAAGCGGATAAGCAATGGCGCTCTATCTGCTGCATCGAGCAGAGTATATAGAGGTTTGGATGCCACTGCTCAAGCCTTCTCAGTTTCTTGTTCCCCACTTGCACATTTTCATTGTTATCGCCTTTCTCCAACTTCACTTTTATCCCCAACACTTTCAACCCTCAATTATTGATCACCATCCTGTTTTCATAGTCCTTTGTCTTCTAGTATCTATTCACACGCAATCGCAGGGTGTCGCTATGGTGCATTCGTCAGGACCATTTTCAATCAAACGGACTACGGCAGTTCATCCATTTCTCTTTGGAGCCCCCGATCCTCCCTGAGAATGTCATGCATAAACGTGCGCAATGTACTGCAGATCGGCCGACAGGAAGCACTTGCCCGAGCATTAGACAAGCTATTGATTGATATCTCCTGTATATCGGAAACTTACCTGCAAGATTCGAGTTGCGCGATTACACTGTGATCCCCCGTAGGCGACACTGGGAGCAATTTCTCATTACGTTTGCCTGGAGATAACGCAGCTTCACATACTGGTCAAGCCGATGTCGGCATTGCTCTTACTTCCTGAGCTGAAGATGACCTGGTTGGTTGGATCCTGGTCAACAGCGGGGTGGGTGCAGTTCGATTGACTGACTTGCTCAAAGCTTCGACATCGCGCCGCCCTCATAGGTGTGATGGGGTTGGAAATGCTGTAATGCCAATCGAGCGTCACAGGCCAGACCGATATGGAGTGAGCATGTTTCCGGAAGCAGATTAGTCAGGCATTCAGGAAATAGTTAATCCGTGATCGTATCCAGC